AATCTGTTTTCTTAATCTATAGGACCTGTTTAACATACTTTTGAGTTGTGACAAACTTCTATTGATTGCTAAGTGAGTCATGTTTAATAAACTGAAATCAAATTGAATGTCCGTTGTTGGTTTACCTATTCTTTTATTCTCTTCGCCAGCTGATAAATTGATCTATCAGAATTTAAGCCGTTAAGTATTGCTGATTTTTCTGACCCTGATACATACTAGGGGCTTGTCATGTATGTAGGATCGTAAATTGTATTTTAAAGGATTATAATACCAGTCCTATGGTTGGGCTCGGCAATTTTCCCTGCTTTCATTAGTTTATACTGTAAACATCATCTCTAAATTCATGGTTGATTCCCTGGTTTAGCCTGTGGTGTTCAAAAAAATGCAAAAACCGAACCGAAAAACCAGTTAACCGAAAAAACGGTTCGGAAAATTCAAAAAACGGAATTTTTGGTTCGGTTACCGGTTCGAGAGAAATTAGAAACGGTTAATCGAAAACCGTTTTTCAAATATATATATATTAAATAAATAAATAGTAACCTAAACTAAAATAAATCTCTAATTTAGTCAATCTAAAATCCCAATCCAAATTTTTTTTCTTAGTTCCTAATGTATTGTCTATATTTACAATTTAATTTAGGACAAAATTAAAAAAAAAAAGTTTTATAAAAAAAAAGGGAACACCGGTTAATCGCAAAATCGGTTTTCCCTAAAACCGGTTCGGTTTCGGTTTATAAATTTTTTCGAACCGAAAATCCAGTTCGGTTTAGAAAAGCGGTTAACCGAACCGGTTAACTGCTTTTGAAATTGATCAGATTTTTAATGTAGTTTAATAATATATTATAACATTCAATAGTTAAATTCGAAGTAATTACTTTCATTTATGATTTTGAAATGGTGGATACCATGCAGGTGTAGCATGTTGTCTTTGGGGTTGATCTATTATTTGGGTCAGGAAACAAAAATTGGATGCTAAATAATGGATTTTCAAGTACCAAAGATTCTATTTAAGCAAAACAATTGGTTTTGATTCACTTGAGTTTGCAAATGGTATACGAATAAGAATCCAACTGCCTGCTAGAATAAAGCAAAACCTGTTCTTATCTTTTCAATCCATCAGTTAGTTGATAGCCCTAATTTCAATTCTGCTTTGTCCACATAACTTGTTCTTAGCTTCGCCTATTAAATTCAGATGTAGTTTTCATGCTTCTTCCATTTACGCAATTATTCTACAACTGGGGCTCCGAAAATAATATAAATTTCATTTGAAATTGAAACCTTGATGAACATAATTGATTTATATTTTTATTGAAGACAGCCAGCGCCAAATTTCTAGATCTTGATTTGATGTAGGATGTTGACATGAAATTCATTTGGAATATTAATTTCTTTATCAGCCTAATAAACCTAAATATGTTGAAACAAAATAACATACCTGATGTGATGGAATGTTTAAGATATATAATATTCCTTTTCAGCCTCTAGTAAGCTAACATCTGTTATTAAACCGTCCTCATTTTCCTATTTCTTTAACCGCAAGGTAGAGGCTTTTCATATCCTCACTCCAACTCTGTTCATACTGTACATTTCAACTTCATAACATATAAAATTCTTTCATTATTATCTCTCCAACTCAAATAATTCTTAATTAAATCACCCAAAAATCGTGCCGTTGTTGCCTCCTCAAGTTTATCCTCAAACCCCTGTTAACTCTACATGGGGTTAATTACATCAAGTTTATATAGAGATGAGATTTTCTGAAACGGGAAAACCATTTATATGTTTATTTTGCTTAACTTAATACCAATTACGTTAGATGTAATTGGAAGCAAAACAAACAGAAAAAGACGAATGTTTCAATAGTAAGCTGCGTGCCTTCGATGTCCTTCTACTAGGCCATATTATATTTAATATTTAAGTAATTAAAATCCTTAAACCTAAAATTAACGAGCATCTAGAATTGACTGACATCTACATCCTCTCTCTCTTTCTATATGTGAATCCAAATCTTAGCATTTCTCCTTTGATGTGTCAAACTCTGATAAGAAGGGGAGAAAGAGAGATGGCATAATATAAAGGATATAGGTTGGTGGGTAGTTAGGGATTCGTATAAACAATTTTTATTGAAGAATCAACATCATTTTCAGCATCTTTACTTTATGAATTCTGACTTGTTTTGTTTCCATCAATCTCACGTTCACATATAATCTCATTTTACTTGATTAAGCTTCATATTTATAGCTCTCTTTGGATGCTCCGCTCCAGGTGGGGTTAATTCCAAATTGCCAGCTGTTTGGAAACCCTTGAAACCATGGGGAAGAAAATATCTAAGAATCCTCATGAGAAAAAGCAACTCAACAGCTTGATAAAAGTTTTGCGGCCAAAGGTTTACATCACTGACAGCTCAAGCTTCAAGAATCTTGTTCAAGAGCTAACTGGCAATGGAAATACTACAACTACTGTCTCATCCCCACCTGATTCAACGTACAATCCAGATCAAACAACAGTTGATCAAATCTCAACTATCCATATAGAAGATGATGTTCATGTTCATACAAGGGAGCCTGAAAGTAGCTTGGAAGCGTCGTCTGATGCGTCCACTGAGTCTTCTTTTGAACTATGCAACCAGCAAGTATTATTTCCCGAAGAATTGGAGCAAAGTTATTGTAGGCAGATATACCTGCAGGGTGAGAGTAATGTTACTTCTTCAGAGTATTTGTTGATGAATCAACAAGAAGAAGAGATGTTATCATATGGGGATTTGGAGTCATGGCTATTGGATATGGAGCCATACCCTCTTTATAATACTACTTGTAATCAGATTCAGCAAGAGGTCAGTATCTTTGACTACGAGCTATCGGGGCTAATATGAAGTGTTTGTTTTTCTGTCTCGGAGACAGCGAGAAGCAGATTTAACGTATCGTTTTTGCTATGTATAATATATTAATACTCCTAGCTTGTTCATATATATATATATATATATCAAGTGCAGAAATTCACAGAAGTAAATTAATTTTTTCCCTTGTATCATCATTGTATATATATATAGAGAGAGAGAGCGAATTATCAATTTCATTGTCTGCTTTGTATTTATATGTTATCAATATTGACATCCATGATTCGTGCTTTTTTTAATCTTTTTACTGTAGTAACAAAACTAATTGTCTTAAAAATTTTCCGATACGTGCTTCTCTTGTGAGACCAACCGGAGGGTTGATTCGTGTTGGCAAGATTAAGAACTATACAGTGCCAGCAGTAAAATTTGAATGGTTTGTATTGACTGATCAGAGAAACTCAAGAATTATTTCATTATAATAATCATGAAAACCTAAGAGAGTTGGTTGAGAAAGAAAAGACGACCCAATTACACATTTACTTAAAAGCGAAGGTGTTAGGATTTAGGATGATGTATCTTTGATTGCATGACGCATTTAAGTGTTTCACAATTATATTAAACATGAATAATACTATGTGTACTAACAAAAAATCATATAACCCAAGTACTAACTGACGTGACATACCTCTCTTATTACCACGTCAGTTTTCCCAAAAACTAAAATAAAAAAATTCCAAAATTTCTATTGATAGTACTTAGATAAGTACAATTTGGTTAGACTCTATTAAAGACTTATTTTATATATTCCAATTAACATTATAAAATGAACAGTTCAGAGAACAAAATTCTGATATATTGCTCATAAAAATATTTTTAAATGTACCCTTAATGTGTCTTCATTGGGTTATATAATTAAAGCATCAAAATCACATTAGTTTTCCTTTCAGTCTTGTGCTTGATAACAATATATAGAACTGTCTACCATCCAAAAACAGTAACAAGAAATGCAAGCAGAACCGAAGCACAGGAAAGCTTAAAAGCTTGGATATATGAAGCAGTGTTGATGGTGGGACTTGGTACGGTCATTGGGGAGGATACTGAAGGAGGTGAAGCATAATTACTACTGGAACTTGGGCGTAGAGAAACTGGAGTCAATATTATGTCAACCTTCTGACCAGCTTCACAATGACCAGTAACGCAACACAAGAAATAGTAATGGCCAAGACCTTTGAGGTTGATAGAATAGGAGCCTTAACTGTAAACAGCCATTGAAGATGTCCTGAAAATCTTGATGCGAAACTTGCTTGACGTTGTGAAATTGATTGTTAAAATTGAATACTGCAAGCATATAAACCATAAATAATTAATTAGTTGATGAAAAGATTATCTTAAAAATTATTGAACGAACAAAAGGGAAAGACATATTATATAAACAAATATATAAAAGGAAAAAAGTTGAAAAAGAAGAAGCATATTTACCAAATAACATCTCCAACATGGAAGTTCTTGGTAGAAGCTCACTTGTTGTAATCGACATTGCCCATAGCACTCCACCCAGCAGAATCACCAACTTTGTAAACAGCACCAAGAGAAGCTCCAAAAAAGGTTGTCAATAGCAAGAAAGCAACAATATACTTAGCGAGAGCCATTACTAATTACTAATTAATCAACCGAAGTGAGCAACGAAGAATTCAAGAAAAGAGGAAGATCAAGTAGTCTGAGCCTGCGCATACGTATATATATATGTAATGAATTTTGTATTCCTAGTCCTTGTTTGATTATTTTTCCTATGGAGTATATGATTCATTATAATTGGTTTATCTTATAGAATTAAGCTGCCAATCAACTTTCCTAAAAAGCTGTTGGCTACGTCCCAATTAATCCAATATTTTTTTTTTTTTTTTTTTTGTTATAAATATTCTATAAATCTGTTATAAATATTTTATGATATCCTCGAATCCAACTGCATCTAGGAAACTTGATTGGCAGTGTAACTTAGCCAATAAGAGTGAATCCTAATCTATGTAGGAAGTAAAATCAAGGTAGGATTCGGACTACAAAATCCGTTTATATAAACGTTCAAACCAACCACCTGTAGGCTCTCACACATAATTCACTATTTGATCGATCCTCCTCTTCTCTTGCTCTCTTGGCTTAATTAGCAATGGCTTTCGCAAAGAACTTCGTTGCTTTCTTGTTGATGACAACTCTTTTTGGAGTCTCTCTTGGTGCCGTTTACGAAGTCGGTGATTCTGCTGGGTGGAGTACTATGGGAAATGTCGATTACAACAAGTGGGCTTCTTCCAAGAACTTCCATGTTGGAGATAAAATTGGTAAGCTCCTCCACTCTTTTACATCCTTCTTTATTTATTTTTGGTTAAACATTCTTATGATGACTTCTGATTTGGTTTATTTATTGTTGCAATATTAAGAGTCTGTTTTGTATATATCATAACCATTATCTAATTCTGTGTATGTTTACATGCAGTGTTCAATTACAACAATCAATTTCACAATGTGAAACAAGTATCCCATCAAGATTTTCAGTCATGCAACGCAACGTCTTCCATCGCCGTCTACACTTCGGGTTCTGACTCTATCACCCTCAAGAGTCTTGGTCACTACTATTTCTTGTGCGGCGTTCCTGGTCATTGTGAAGCCGGACAGAAGGTTGACATCATGGTGACTCCAGTTTCTTTTCGCCCAAGTGCCAGTCCTAATTATGCTTCATCGCCTTCAAGATCCTCTCCATTGACGCCACCTAGTCATGCTACTAACACTGCTCCATCTCACCAATGTTTCCAGCTTTCGTCGGCTTTCGTTAGCCTTGCAATTTTTATTGGTGCATGTTTTTGTTACTAGAGGGGTGTGAGATTTGGTTTCGTATTTTAGTTGTCTTCTTATGGTTGTTTTTAAATCTTCTAATAAAGTTACTAGTTTATTACCACCAAAACAAAAAGAGAGAGATTTTTTATTCGTTGTAGATATTTTGGGCCCCCAGTATACAAATCCCGGTAGTAATTGTTATGTTCTCCACATGCATTGAACATCTAATTTTAATGAATTAATATAGAAATCAAATTATAACTAAGCAAGTGAAGAAGTTAGATTGAGGTATCAAACCAAAGTAGATTCGATTACCGGTCCATAACTATTTTTTATTATTAATTAACTATTTATTCCTTAGAGATATTAATAATATTTCTGTTTTAATTTGTCAATTAGTTTATTAGGTCAAAGGTCTGTTTGCTGCGGTTTCTTTGAATAGAGTTTAAAAATTAGGAAAATGTAAAAAGGCTTTCTAATATTAATTTACTAAAAAAGGTTTAAATATACAAAAATAGATCAAGAGAAATTTACAAAATTATCTCTCCCCTTGTAGTTAGATGACAAATACTTTAGTTACTGAAGTTAATTATAACCAGGGATCTTGTAAAAAAAATTTGTTTAAAGATTGAATGGGATATTTTTTTGAAATTTCAACAGTTTTAATAAGCTCAAAAAGAGTTTATGGGAAAAGCTCTCCCAAAAGTCATAAAATACATTTTTTGTTTATATCCGTATAAACATTTCTGAAATGCAATCAGATAACCTAAAAAAAAAATTCAGAAGTGTTTATAGGACTCTTTCCACTAGTAAAGAAACCTAACCAAACAGGCTCCAAGTCTTAACAACAACGTGAAACCATACAATTAATATAGTAATTAATAATTACCGTTAATTATTATTTACAAGAGCAATTAATTAATAAATAATTTATTTAAAATTTAATCTACGCTTTTCCATGAATGGAATAGAGCAAGGGATAGCATACTGTTCAGTCTTCATGAATATATCCCTTCGTCTTAACTTGATGTAACTTGAAGCTGGACAAAGCACAAAATGACAATTACTTCATCAACTGCATGGCCCTCCATGTCATTTTTAACGGTTGAGATTTTTAAAAACTCATTTCAATCCCTGTGGAGCATAGTCAATTGACCAAACTGGATCATCTTCACGTAACTACAAAGGGTAGCATTTTGGTTGACTGCTGGTCATCTCCTGCGCCTTCAGAACTTAAATGGTGAGCATATTTGCAAATTGCAATTTCATAACTGGGTTGGTGGTCTTGTGCAAGGACTCCTATTACAAACCTTAATGGTAGAAAAGCATCTTTTCTAATTCGTGTCTTGTTTTGCTTCAACTGTTCATCCACGTACTGAATTTCATACCTAGTTATACATATATAAGCAGAAAACGAGGCTGAAAAACTATATTCCCCATAGTTAAAGTTGTGGCATAATAATGGTGAAGAAACTGAATCAGGCGTCTCTTAAAATAAATAAGAATGAGTCGAAGAAGCAACTCAACAATTTGATTGAAGTGTTGCGGCCTAAGGTCTACATTACTGACAGCTCAAACTTCAAGAGGCTTGTTCAAGAACTTACCGGTAATGGCAGCTCCATAGTGCCCTCCCCGCCATCTCCTACAACACAACAGCAGCAACTACAAGCTTATTTTCTTGAGAATAATTATGTTCCAGTTATCAATGTTGAAGACGACCATGGAGAGCCTCAAAGTAGCATGGAAGCAATATCATTTGACGCATCTCTTGATTCATTTGATGATGAATTATTCAGCAACATATGTTTAACCGAAGGATTATTCACAGAATTAGCAGAAAACCACCAGATGCAAAGTTTGAATCATAACAAAACATTCGACGCTTCATCTCCGATGGAGCAGTGGGCGGATTGTTTAGCCTGTCAAGATGTTGAGTCATGGCTGTTAGATATTGATCAGCCTTATCCTAAATTTAATGGTTTTGCGCAGAATATTCAGGAGGTCAGTGTATATGATTACGACTTATCTGGGCTAGTATCAGGAAGCGGACAAGCGGTTCGTTCTAGCTAGTTTTTACAAGATTATATCAGAAGGAAGACTTAATGGCAAAGGCCATTTATAATATACAGGTCCCTTTTAAGTCATAAGATATAGGTATACAGATCATATTCATTGTGGAAAATGGATATGACTTTATAATCCATGTGATTTATTCATTTATTTGTATAAGAGAGCCAATTGGCATATTAATTGATTAATTTTTAGAGTATATATGCATATTGCATGTCCTATAAATCCTCGTCAAACTCATATGCCTTAAACCAAGAACTTACCATTTCATTATTCATAGAGGTGGAATAAATGGGTCGGTGAGGCAGATCAACCCTAACTCGGCCTGCCTCAACCTGGGTTTAACCTAGCTCAGGTATGCCCCATCGGGCGGGTTGGGCCTTCATAGGCTAACCTGGTGACCAAGCAGGTTTTTAAAAAAAAAAACCCGTCCAACCCATCGGATTGACCCACGGTTGAAAACTCCCAACCCGTTGGGTTGGGAAAAAAAAAAAAAAGCTATTATATATATAGAAAAAAAAAAAAAAAAACACAAATCCCTAAATTTGTGTTTTAAGTTGATTTGACAGCAAATATATATCATTTTCAACTAAGGTCTTGGTTAGTATCTCTATTGACATATAAAAAAAGGTTTAATATCCCTTGTGTCCCTTAAGGTTTGGGTTTCAGTCGCTCACACCTCCAAAGCCAAGGGATAAATAACTATCTCTCACCTCTCTTCACATTTCAAAAATTGTCAGTTACCTCCTTAAAGAGAATTTGTTAAACAAATTTTATCAGAAATGTTAAAAGACATAAAATGCCTATTTTTAAATAATTAATATTAAGGGTAATTTGGATATTCTGAAAAGTGTATTAGATGATGTTTTATATTATTTTATGAAGGGCAAATAAAATAAAATAAGGACACATGTTCATAAAAACAATTAAAAAGGGGCACAAGTTTTTTAAAAGACAAAAATAGGACAATTAACGGTATAAGACTGTTTAACTTAACTTCATAGATGGTATAAATGTAAATCTATTTTATTACTAATGTAAAAGTCAAAAGAGACATTAAAAAATATAAATAGCCATTGAGAGATAAACATGTGTCAAATGCCCAAACACATAAGGACAGAACAAAAAAGTAAAAGTAAAAAATAAAAAATCAAGAGATAACCTAAGCCTAACCTTTTATATTTGCCTAATTTTTTTTCCACGTTCTTTGGTTAAAAAATGATTTTTTTTTTTTTTTTTACTTTGATAATAAAATATTAATTATATGATAATAATAAAATATAAAATCTCAAAATCAATATAGAAGAGATTATATTAATTATATAATGTCTTACTAAAAAGAAAATAAGGAGCCATTAGCCATGCTAGAATACAAATCAAAGTAAAATCGATTAATTAAATAGATTTTAATTTATTTTTTGAAATTTCATTATTTTATATATTTTGAAACCATGTCATAATAATCAATATCATAGAAAATAATTAATGAGGGTATAATTGACTTTTCTCATATCATTATTGATTTTGATAAATGAATAAATATAATTTTTCTTATATTACAATTTAATTGTATTAAAATTGAATTAATATTTAAAATGTTAACAAAAAAAAATTAATTTAATTGAATTATTGATATTTGAAAACTTAGTTAAAAAATTACACAAAAAAATTAAAAAAATTCCAGACCGGCCGCACAAAAACCCATCAGTTAAAGGTTGGTGGGTTGGGCTCGGCCAACCCTTCTAGCCAAAGAGACAGGCTTAACCTGGCCCGCCCTTGTTGGCGGGCCGAGTTAGGCCCAGCCCACAATTTGGCTTAACCTGTCACCGGCCGGGCGGATGGGTTAATTTTCCGCCTTTTATTCATTATTGTTGAGTTGTCTCGATCTATACTGAGTTGCACTTGCACAGTCATCTTATTAGTTAAATTAAAAGTTAAAATGCTGTAGTATATCTAATGCTTCTACAAATCACAACTTAAAATACGAGATTGGATTTGAAGAAGATTAAAGAATGACTTTGTATGTCAAGTTACAGATAGTAAATGAACTTGCTGACTTGGTCAGCAGAATTAACAAGGTGAAAAAACCAGTTCAATCAAACGATTATTACAAAGAACACGCACCAAATTTATAGTAGGAAGAGTTGGGACTGAAAATGAGTTATTTATCCAATAACAGAGGCAAATCCTTTCTGTTATATTCTTGGCTTTACTGGTGTCTTTTGCTGAGGAGGGAGGCTATACAAAGATCTCAGCTGCCTGCTTATTAGCTTGCTGTTGTGGAGAGACATTTGAAGGTCCAAGTTATCAGACCACCATTGCTCTATCCCGTGAGCCTCAAGAAACTTCTGTTTTCCCTTGGACATAACAAACAGCTTTGCTGCAGCTTTCCCATTTGTCAGACTCACATTCTCCTTGTTAGCATCATTTTCAGCCGTGCTTTCAGGATCAGTGTAAGAACAACAGATGTAGTCACTGTTATTCACATACAAATGAGGTACCCATTTATTTAATTCCGCAGAAGTTTTATCCCCATAGAAATAATGCACCCAATTCTTTAATCCCACAGAATTAGTCTTCTCTCCCTCATCAATGGCGGCCTGACTTTCTGCACTTGAAGGGAGCATTGATTTAACTCTGTTCCAAGCAAATACTGCTTTTTCTCCCATGTTTCTGAAACTCATTGCCAATGAGACAGAAGGTGGGTTAAATAAATGGGTGTCAACATATAATCCTTCCTTGGCTAATGTTTTTCCCACTTGGAGGGCAAAGCCAGCCCCTAGTGAATGACCTGCTACACATACATTGTTGCTTCCATATCTAGCAGCAAGAGATTTTAAGGATTCCAGAGCTCCCTTAAATCTGACAGAACCCTTCAAGCTTTCCCAAGCAAAGAAGCGGAGGTCATCTTCGACATCCCTTCTGATTGTTGAGCTTTTGAGTAATGTTCCTCGGAGTGCTAAAACAGCTTTTGGTGCTCCACTGGGTCTAATAAGTACCAAATCTGCCATTGCTGCAGATCGATCCCATTCTAGTATTGCACCATATATAGATCCATCTCTTTCATCAACTAAGGTTTGGGCCAGCTTGATGGATTTCCCATAGGTGGTAAAACGTCGTTCTCGTAAATGAAGACAAGACAAGAGAACGGATAGTTCAAGTTCGTTCATTTGACGAACATACTTCGTCCGTTAATGTCAAGAAAACACTAAGCCTAGGAAGGACGTATATGTCTGGTAGGTCTTTACCTCATCCATAAGGAGTTTGTGTTATTCTACAGGGCAAAAAAAAAAAAAAAAAAATAAATTAAATTAAATTAAATTAAATGCAATTTAATATGTAAATGAACATATGTTTTCTCATTATGTTTGATTTCAAGTTCTCCATATGATCAGGAAGAAAAAAGGTCCAAACAACAGAATTTAAAACTAATTATATATCTTAAAATAAACAGTTGTTCAAATCCGTACTTGATTAATACTTCATACTTCCATAGAAATAAAAAAGAAAAAGAAAAGTTTATCTATTTGGCACGCCAAAAGTTTCCCAAAGAGAAACCCACAACTGTTGAAACACAAAGTTTTGGACACTCTCTTATCCCCTCAGTCACTAAATAATGCAAGTTGTATGATGGGGTCATGATTTGGGAACTGATTCCCAGAAATTCTGAGATCTAGTAGTTTGCTACATAAAAAATTTCTCTCTTTCTTTCCCAGTTTACCTAATTAATTGGGAATCCATATGGTTGCAACATGCCGCAAAAGGAAGTAAGTAAGGGGAAGAAATCAGAGAGGATTAAAACACAATATGCATGAGACAAAAGAAAACATAATTCTTAAATCTAAAACCAGAGATGTCAATCCAATTAAAACAGAGTGTATGTGTGTGAGGACATGCGCAATAAGATTGATCCATAAGATGGAAACAACAATAAAAATAAAAATTTGTACATCCGCCAGCAAAGAAATATACATTTATACGATCAATTCAAAAGCGTAAGTGCTGATGTCAGATTCTCATTGCGAAGAAGAAAATAGGGAAAACACTGAGTCAATATAAAATGAATGGAATTTATCATGTGAACAATTATAAGAATACCAAAAATATACCCAATTTCCATACTCAGAAAACAACCAGCTTAAATGAAACTAAAACTTAGCCCAGAATTAGCTGGTACAGCAATGGAAATAATTTAAAATTACAAAATCTTTCTTCTACGGGGCACTTATGTTTCCAAATTTATATCTCCAACAACAATATACAATGAAATATTGGCATTAAAGAAACAAAAAAGAACAGGGAAAACCCAGGATTTATGCTATCAGATATTTAGCAGATGCAGATTCAAAAATCACCAAAAATATCCACACAGTAGACCAGAACCACCACGAACCATTAATAAACAGAAGTCCTACCAATATTATGCCCAAAGCAATCTCAATTCGATTAATATTAATAAAATTCCTTTTATCCAAACAACTAAATTTCATTGGGATCAATCACATAGCACAGAGATATTAAGGTTAAAATTAAAAAAGGGTACTGACCAACTAGAGTTGATAAGGTCTCTCCAATTCGGAGGAGCAACATTACGAGGTCCAGACACATGGAATGCATATGGGTGAGCTTCCTCTTTGTCTTTGATCTCCATTGCTGTGCCCTTCTCCCCTAATGTTGTTCCCAATGTTGTTATCTCCTCTGCTACAACCTTTGCCATCGCAACACAACCTTTTCTTAATCTCTTCTTCTTTTACTTCTTATTTCATGCTAAAGTCACATCAAGAGGTTCTGTTCTGAGGCTTTTTGATTGTTTGAAGGCTTTTACATGGCATCGGATTCCTGCTCATTGGCTCATTGCTAAATAAAAGATTNGACCAACTAGAGTTGATAAGGTCTCTCCAATTCGGAGGAGCAACATTACGAGGTCCAGACACATGGAATGCATATGGATGAGCTTCCTCTTTGTCTTTGATCTCCATTGCTGTGCCCTTCTCCCCCAATGTTGTTCCCAATGTTGTTATCTCCTCTGCTACAACCTTTGCCATCGCAACACAACCTTTTCTTAATCTCTTCTTCTTTTACTTCTTATTTCATGCTAAAGTCACATCAAGAGGTTCTGTTCTGAGGCTTTTTGATTGTTTGAAGGCTTTTACATGGCATCGGATTCCTGCTCATTGGCTCATTGCTAAATAAAAGATTATCTTTTATTTAGTTAAAATAATATAATTTGAAACTCCTGGATTGGTTCAGTAGCTTGTAAGTCGCCAACGGTCATATTTCCTTGTTGTTGTCGATTCCGATGTAAATGACGTTTATAACCCTTCCCAGAGTTTGCCCCCTTTTGGAAGGCATGTGATCCATGTCTCATTAAATTAACAAATTTCTTCGCCAAGAAGAAAAAGTATTGAGGGTATTTTGGTTATTGCGTGTTGTTGAACTCGAGTTTGGATTACAGTTGGATATGAACTTTGCAAAAGTCAGACCGGACGCATCTGATAATAATTGAGTGTGGCCACTCGCCAAAAAGTGGACCTACATAATTAAATTCTTCTTTTCTCTTTCAATTTTCAAGTAAATTAATAAGAAATTTTTAACATGGATAGTCTGATACTATGCCTTGAAGTAGCGAGCCGGCTCGGCTTGACTCGATTAGAGCTCATTTGAAGCTCAACTCGATTATTATCGAGTCGATTTAGTTCGAACTCAGTTTATTAATCGAGTTGAGTTTGAATAAAATAAAGCTTAGCTTGTAGGCTGACGAGCCTGGTCCGGTTCGAGTAAATACTGTATACTTATGTGAATATTTTGGTGATTTTTTAAACTATAAGATATTAAACTAATATTTTTTAATAAAAAAAAAGGAGTGACCCGAGTGAGCGTTGGGCCACCACATACTGACATATGCATACTTTCTTCTCTCCTTTTAATGCTTTCAGTCACTTCTCTTCTCTCTCAACTCAACCACGTCTTCTTCTTCAACCCTTCTTTCTTCTTCTTCTCTTCTTCTTTCTTTTTTACTTTCAGCTAATAACATTTTTCGGGCTTAACAAGCTCTTCTCTCCTTTTAATGACTTAACGAGCTCGATATCAGGCTTGCGAGCTGAAGTTCGAGCCAGCTCGAGCTCGCCTCGAACTCGATCGAGCTCGAGTTCAAGTCTCAATTCTGAGGCTCGTTAGGCTCGAGCTCGATACGGTAGTAAACGAGCCAAGTTCGATAAGCCAAAAGCTCGACTCGGTTCGGCTCATTTACAGTCCTCCCTTTGAAGGCATTAAATAAATATGTGATTTTTTTTATTTTTTTATTTTTAACACTGATAGTTTGATAATATGCCTTGAAAGCAGTTCAACTATTCTTCTAGACTTTAAAGTTAACGACGGATAAATTCTTTTAGTGATCACCTTCATTATTAAATTAGGTGAATCAAACTTAAAACCTTTTAAATAATATATTTAAGAATCTTGATTGATCACTAAGTTGTTATAAATATCTGAAATTGGTTCTTTTAAAATTATTGACCATTCATGCAATTTATTTTAAAATTTTCATCTCTTGCTGGACGGTAAAAAAATAAACATGTTTACATTTTGTATAGTAATCCGATTTTGATAATATTTGTGGAGGAGGTCTTCTCTCCCAATTTCAATTTGTTTAATTAGGGACAAACAAATGTCCCAATCCAGTAGAGCTAACAGAAATATGAAACTTGTATCTGAACCATAGACAATCAACAAAAATCTTTAAAATAAAAACATCAAAACTCATAAATCAACACTAATGTACTCACTTACCGCTTACCATGGCCTTGAATTTAATTGCCACGTCTCTTCACCCAAAACCCTCTTCTAATCTTCTTTCTCCTCCTCTCAAACACAAACATCTCGCCAAACTCTACTCTTCTTCATGTAAGACTTTTGCTCAGTCGGAAGGAACTGAAGGTGGTGTTACAGAAGAAGATCCCCCAGCTTCTTTTTCTGGTATACATCCAATCCTCTCTTTCTCTCTCCTTTTTTTTTTTTTTTTAAACGAATTGCTATTAATCTGCATACCCCTTAAGTTTTATTATAATACACTTGATATTTGTTGGTACGACTTTGGTTTATATCATATAGTTTTTGAAAATATGAGTGTATTAATGTGATCAAATGGATTTTGTGGATTGATTTATTTGTGAGAAATCAATTCCTTATGTGATAGGCAGAGGAATTGCTATCTTAAATTTCTGTCAGAGCTTAACACAAACACCTGCTGGGTATGACTAATAGTAATAGATAATTGATAACAATTCGCTTCTGGCATTGCTTTGTCTCTTAGTGAGCTTATTGAATTTGGAACTGGGAACTACTGCCAGACCTTACAATCTTCCACTTAGAAAACTTTTGAGTTATAATATCTCAAGTAAATGAGTTACAATCAGTTTAACTCGTGAGTTAGATGGAACAAAACTAGTTTGCCCTGAAGATGTTATGTCTTCTGTGAAGATACTTCAGAACAATCTAAGGAAAAGATAACGGCCTTGCATGTCCCACTCTTTGTTCTATAATAGTTTGTCTCTATATTAACAACAAATATTCTTAAGATAGGAGCTTTTAAGTTTCTAAGTAAGCTTGTTTGGTGCTTCATATGTTGCAGTTTCTAAGCATACATGTGCCGATCGCACTATCTCATACTGCTAGAAGCTTTTATCTTTTGTGATTGGCTTATAACATTTTCATCGATGCTGATGATCATGACATCTTGTTCAAATCTGTGTAACACTAAACATTAATTTCTCAATAGAATTATGGGACGCATGAGATTGATTACAGATCCTAAAGTGCTTTTAATTTTTTTCCCCAAGGGTCTTTGTCTTCTGCACGCTCACAGCTGGATCTCTTGGAACAACTCACTTCTACAAGCCCAACGGTTGAAGGTATGTTTTTTCTCTTACAAAATGTAGAATGAGGAGTACTACTTTGACAAAGTTTATGTCCAAGTGATGCATTGATTTACGACTGTCAAATGAATGTTGGAATAATGTGGTGAAGGATACAACAGTGTTAAATTAGTGCCACATTACTTAAGATTACAAAACTTGGAATTTAAATTTTGTAGAGTAATGTTACTCATATATACAAAGTTTCTTGGTTGGGCAAAACAAAAAATTGAAGAGAGTGAACCCCTATCACATAACTGACTAAGGTTTTCGTATTTCATGAATAGGATATGAGAGTGATGGTAGTTCTCGGAAACTTACAATGCGCGCTCAGCTGGCACAGTTAGTTGGGGATAGAGATGATGATTTCAGTATTCCATTGGGGAAAAACTTGAAGAAGTTTAGTGCCAAGTTCTTAACCATCTCACAGAAGAGAAACATCAGAAGACAAGCTTACTTGAATGAAGTTTCTCAGAGGAATGATTCAGTTTTCTTTGCCACTATTGGAGCATTTGTTATTCTTCCACCTTTTATAATATTAGGGATCGCTGTAATAACTGGTTATATACAGCTTTTTCCATAACACATGCTTGTTAATTATTATAGAGAAGCCATGTTAACATACACCGTATGAGTTGTAAAGCTTTAGCTAATAGAAGATTTTTACCCAATATTTTCCATACATAATGAAAATAATCAGTATTCAATCCTCAACCTCTCCATCTGAGGTTATTGCACTTGATAAGGTTCTCTGAGATTATTCCGAAAGGAATAATTTTGTAGAACGTAAAAAAGCTCTACATTTCTTAACAGAAGAATGAACTATTCCAAATTTTGCATCTTGTGGCCTGTGGGAAAAACATCCACCAGACAATACCTTTTCCGGTAGAAATTGGGATCTACTTCTTAATACATGTTCAAGAATCTGTTTTATCGCTAAAATTTTATGGTTTTTAAATTTCTATATGCCGCAATATATTCGCATGATTTTCTAAGATTTCACCAGCCAGCAACATTTGCCGAAATCTGCAATATTCTAGAACGGGAGACTGAGGAAACCAGTGGGTTGTTCAAGGCTTGAAGATATAAGCGTTAGTGGAAAATATTGACCTGAGAATATAATCTATGCGTTGAAACTTTATACATTTTTTTTAAAACCTCTCTGACAAAGATCCGTTCTTAGATATTCAAATCTCTCAAGGCAATATCTTCCACTCAACTTAAATAATACAAAGAATGGATACCACCTAGAAACCCCATAAACGATTTTTAATTCTCTAGTGTTCACTCAAACATCTAGATGCTTAAGTGGAAACAATTTTATGCTGTTGTGTTCCCACTTGAATCTCTCTTCTTTGTTTCATAGCACTTGCAAATAAAATCTGTTCAACAGAACCAAATGTGGAAAATTTACAGGGCGTGTTTGGCTGTGTTAATTTTACGCTTAACAATCTACTCCCAATTCTGAATAGATTTACTTGGTGAGTGAGGAATCATATCCTTGAAAAAGCAATTGCCCCGAAGATTAATCATATTGCTAATCCTGTAAACTGATTCGATTCAAATATCCCTTTAACTTCAGAGACTAGGAGGTGGGCATGCTAGACTGGTGAAAGATAATCGAAAAAAATAAGATTCTATGGTCTGGGAAATGCAGGGTCAGCAATATAAGGACAAATTCACTAGTACTGTCATAATAAATAATTAAATATGCATTTTTTTTTTTATACCATAAAATTGAAACTATTGTATGCATTGCTACAAAAGTATTATGATATATAGTGTTTCTAACAATCCGATTTACAACGACTTTCAGACAATTGGCTGCTCTACAAAAAACAATCAAAAGAATAGGAGAAAGAAACCAACAAAACATTTATAATTCATCACATATATAAACAAAAATGCGAAGCTTCACCAGTTTTATCCCAATTTTTTTTCCAAGTGATAGCGTCATTTTATCCTTTACACGTCAAATTGACATAGGGAGGACACAACACTTGAGATAGAAAATTTGAGATAAAACTTACGAAATATAGCATTATTTTTATGAAATTTTACTCCCAGTGTTCCATTCTTCAGTTGATCCAAACTGTGATTCTTCTCTGGGATGAAATTGTAGAACGTAAAAAGTATAACAAGGTTGAAGAGAATCCAATGTTAGTTGAAATAAGTCATTAATAGATATACTTTTTTCAGCAAGTCTCTGTAGTCGATTCTTTCTTCTTGCCTCTTGTTGAAAGCTCTTTATCGGTGGGCCTAAATGGTTCATTACCCAAAGTCACTCCTAGTCCTTGCTTTTGCATGTATGCCCATTTGTCTTGAAAAAGGTAGAAGAAAGCAAATAATGAGATCTGAGTTGTGAACATTATAGTCCAAAGCCGTATGCTTCTAGATGTCTTTTCGTGGAAGGCTTGCAGTCCAGTATACATATTGAGTATTCCCAGCAGAGACACAACAGTTCCCAGCAACCAGTGTGCGAAAAACCATACACTTCTTCTTTTAGATCCCCTGTAAAGAAAAGAGTAGAAATTCTCATACTCAAACTAATGCCTAATTTTGAATTGTTCCCACATTAACATTCGTCTTGTTATTGAGAATCTTGCTGAAGTTTACCTTTGCGGGCGTAAGAACCCAATCAGCGCTTGCAACCATACGATACCGTATAAAACTACTCCTATCTTCTGATGATGATTGCTGAAGGAGTTGTTGAAATTTCTGAAGGAGAGAACTGCCCCTGCTGTGGCTAGTAGTACGGCGAGTGTCTGCAGTAATAGACTACACTTTTAGAACATCATAAGGTTATATGCATATTACATTAATCATGAGGTTAAGATCAGCTAAGTTATTGTTGTCTGTAAGATTTCTATCCCATGTCCAGTTGTGTGATTAGGATAGGATAAATGCAATACCTAACCTCATGATTCATTTCAATATTATAAGATCAAAAGAAAATTGTTAATTAAAAAATTAATTTTTAATAATTGGCTTTTCTTGCCTCTTAAGTATTCATAATAATTCCCCTTAATCAAACTTGTGGGCGTACAAAGTTTCCTAGGCGTTTATTTAGTTAACGAAATGAATGGTTGACCATCGCAAACTGCAAATCAGGCGATGGCACTAAAGTTTTAGTATCAGCCATTCATCATCAAAAGCAAAATAGAGTTGGGCATCAACCTCCAATAAATAAAGTTCAAAGCTTTAGTGGTATCTTTTTCTAAGCCTGTGGAGATGTTAATGAATGAAAAGGAAATTATAAACCATTCAAAAAAGCTATTGTTAATTATCCTGGATCCAGGTTGTTGAAAAACAGGAGAAAAAGAAAAACATAAACTTGCCTGTGAAACTGCATGAGCATAGAAAATAATTCTGAGTCTTCTTCCACATTCGATTCTGTTGGACATTCTGATAATGAGTATCCCAACCGGCATCAGGAGTCCCGTTGATGCCCAGAGGAGGAACCCATGGACTGTAATCTCAAACATCAGTTTAGGACTCAACTGTAGTTATCAGGCAAGGAGCAAAAGATCTTTGTTAGGAATCGCAGGCGAAAAGATCGTAATATGAAAAACTAAACTCAATATCTGGAATCATTATCTTATTGAAAACAGAAAAGTAACGACTTTCTTAGCTTAGTTTCATTGGTTCTGTGATACTTAAAGAGAATTAACAAAAACAGAAATCTAAATCGGATATATATACCTGATTAATGTAGCCATTGTTGATTGTAGTACTATTGGCTGTGGTATTTGCTTGTTCTAGAGAAGAACTGACAGATGGCAGAACAAGAATAATGATAATTGCATGAATAGTGAAAGAAACCAGTTTCTGCATAACTTCCATTATTAATTCTTACGGATGAAAAGAACAAGCACGGCACGGGAGCCGAAGAAAAAAGGAAGGTTTTTTTTTGTTGTTGAAGCTCGGAATTTCAGACGTCGACACAGGCGATCAGCTGAGCTACAATGGAAGAATAGAAGGAATATTGGGATCAGTAGCAAGCTAATAAATAAGGCAATAAGCTCAGCATTGCATGTATTGTCGACCACATACAAATTATTTGAAGCGAAAAGCAATGATAATTAATACATTGTTTAGAGGGAGAGAAAAATACACAGAAGCTGAAGTTTTTAAAGTGTTTCAGGAAATAGAATATAATTATGTATAAAGAAAGGGAGAAGTGGGATATCTTAAATAAATTACATGAGTACTGTGTATTGCATGGAGGTTGATGGGACTGTAGGCGAGAAAGTTTGAGTGAGAAACGTGAAGTAGGGAATGGGCATGGAATATGGATTATAATTTCAACCGAGTGGGGTAAATGTCATAGCCAAGACTTGAAAGGAATTAAATAATTAAAGAGTATATATATAAAGTGGACTTTGGCAGGTTACACAGGTAAAACATTATCTTCTGCTTCCCACTACTGGCTACCACTATCATACCATAGCTTGAAAAATCCAGTAGAACCGACCAAAAGAAAATACAACATGTCTCATAACAAAGCAAAATGCGCGCCATGTTGAAGCATATCCCATTCCCACCCAACTACCTTTTACTGCAAAGTTTTTCTTGCGCAACTATACAACTGCAATGACGACTGCATTTCTTATATTCAATAAATGTAATCAAGGAATAATTTCATCCGTATAGTTACATTAAATTTCATTAGATAGTCAATGATATCAAATCAAAAGTTGAATCACTTCATCAAAAGTTGGACTGATGAAAACATTCTACAATGGTAATAATTTGTCTTCTCCTTTTTCTTGATTATCATCACCAGACACTGCTTCTTATATACTATAATACCCAACACTATTAACACAACAAATAATTATGCCTTTCGTTTTCATGGATATATATTTACAAACTAAAATCCGCAAATTAAAGAATGGAAGAATTGGGCATTGTAAAAAAGACGGGTGGAGGTACCTTAATTATGCAACTTTCTAGTTGCGGGAAATCTCTTTGTGATTGTGAAAAGGCTGCATGTGGTGTGGTCCTTCCTTCCCTCTTATCAAAATGCTTCAATTATTACTCCGACCTTATGATGATCATTTGGAGGAACTATGTATTTTGTTCTTATGTATTACAGTTTTATTTTCCCTCATTTTTTACCGGACGACCTAAACAATCATATCCTCATTCTTAGTTCCAAACTATGATCACTTTATTTGATATTAAGTATCGAGTATCCGAAGGGGTTGACTTGGTAATCAAGAATGTTTGATTCTTTTATTGACTTTTTGAGTTCAAACCACCTTAGAGTCATCTAATACATTTATGGTTCACCCGAGATTAGTTGAAGCGCATGTAAGTGACTCGAACAACCCGTTTATTAAAAAAAAAAAAAAGTTATTTAAAGGAATGCCAATTAATTACAGTGAAAAATTCATTCATTTGCTAACATGTGCATGTGCAATTACACAAGTTAATGCATGGTTGAAGGTAAATCAATATTATATGCTTAGTCATTTTACTTTATATAGATTCAAAAGAAAGAAATTATGGTACACAGCTCACATATATCAAGGACAAAGATCCTACAAGTTAATGAAATTATTATTAAATTGATTGCCAAAATAATATGAAGTTGCTGTAATTAGTTACAACAGCGCTAGCATAGTTACAACAGCGCTAGCATACTAATTATGGTTAGGCTTAATTAATATCATCCAATAAAGTATTATAAGCTTATATTTATTCAAGCAAGCAAGGATAAGAAAATCCCAAAAGTGGAAAGAAAATATTATTGAATTGAGTGATCATGCTTACGATAATAATAAGAAAGTTGGAGTAATTAGTTAGTTTAGATTAATTAAAAGTTGATCACAAAATGGAACCCACCGTGAGTCAATAATACCAAATTCTAATTATATGTGTTGTTAACACGTCACATGTGATTCAATAGCAATGTCCAAGTTTTAATGATGAAGGTGACCTCAAAAGTCACTTGTAATTCTATGTTTGTAACAATTGGCTAATCCCGTGAATATTTAAAGCTAATAATTCGTCAAATTGTGTTTGAAGCATAACCGAAACTATGCCTTGGAAAATGACTTCGTTGATTTAACTCTCCCACCCCCAACGCCTTGATTGAATCAATCTTCGTCCTTATCTCTTTTTTTCTTCTTCTATTTACGTCTCCATTGTCAACCTCATTATAACATATTTGACTATAATCTTTTTTTTTTTTTTTTTCTTATATTTACGTCTCCATTGTCAACCTCATTATAACATATTTGACTATAATCTCATATTGCAATTACAACATGATAATATTTTCATATTTAGTAACACAAATTTAACTATGCTATAATTTCTGAAAAATCAAATGAATTGATGGGGTTTGCTTTATTGGAAAAACTGTTGTTATTATATTAAACCTAATAAAAAACATTAATCATTACTTATTATTATTGAGACGAATTTTAGTACCGCTAAATTGTGGTTACAGATTTAGCAAGTAAAAGAAATTATGATTAGTTTGTTATTTGATCCCTAGTTAATAATTAAATTTCATTTAAGATTTAACGTAACATTTGATTAGAAATTGATGCAATTAGTGTTGGTTTGATTTCAATAAAGAAGCAACCCCACTGGGGTATAATCTTTGATTTAGCTGATAAATGTTCGGTGGTTCCTGCTTATACTTTTTTTGGGCGTTAATTGCTGGGAAATTTCCATTATCCAAATGTTGGTGTTATATGGACTCGCTCTTTCTTAAATGTTAACTCAACTGGTATGGCCCAGTAATAGATGAAGATCCAATAAACTCAAGACCCAATAGCCAAGTCCAAATGGACCACTCCAACTACCCCAACCAGCCCTCCTGAGTCATAACATCAGCTCAGTCCAAATAAAGGGAAGGCCTCAACCAATATCAGTCCAATAAACTTTTGACCCTTCTCCACCCAACAATAATTGGGAACTGCAGCTCCGTAGCAATGCGAGCGAGGGTCAATTCATTCACCCATGAAACCTCTTACGATTTTATTTTAATTTTGCCAAATTAAAGCACCAAATCAGAATTCTGAAATCAAGATGGCCAACGTATCGGTGGCCGCGGAATGGCAGCTCGTCTACAACCGATACTACCGAAAACCAGAGCTCTATCAAATGCGATGGAAACACATCGACTTAAGCCGCAACAAAGTCGCCTGCGCCCCCTTCGGTGGTCCAATCGCGGTGATCCGTGACGATTCCAAGATTGTCCAGCTCTACGCCGAGTCTGCCCTCCGCAAACTCCGCATTTTCAACTCCGCCGGCCTTCTCATCTCCGAAACGGTGTGGAAACACCCCGGCGGACGCTTGATCGGCATGTCTTGGTCCGAAGATCAAACCTTAATTTGCATCGTCCAAGACGGCACCATTTATCGTTACAACATCCACGCAGAGCTGATGGAGCCCAACGCATCAATGGGGAAAGAATGCTTCGAAGAGAACGTGGTGGAATGCGTGTTTTGGGGAAACGGCGTCGTGTGCGTGACTGAGGCGAATAGGTATTTTTGTGTTCCGGATTTTAAGACAATGAGAGTGTGTGAACTGGCGAGGCCGGAGATAGAGGAGTTACCACATTGTATGGCCGTGGTTGAGCCTAAGTACACGATGACGGGGAACGTGGAGCTGTTGATTGGGGTTGATAGTGGGATATTGATGTTGGATGAAGATGGAGTTCAGAAGGTTGATGAAACGATTGTGCAGAAGATGGGCGTTTCTCCTAATGGGAATTATGTTGCTTGTTTTACACATGATGGCCGCCTTGTTGTTAACAACATGGACTTCAGCGCTCCTGTCATTGACCAGTCTTGTGAGGTTGGTTTTGGACTTGTGATTTACACTTTAGATACTATTCGTTAAGTTATTAAGAATTTCTCAAGCAAATGCAAATTTTTGAATGGGAGTATAAAGTTTAAAACTTACAATTAATTGTAGAGGGTCCTAATATTGAATTTGAGTTGAGTTTGATAAGCTAATTAGGGTGATTTCTGAGCTTAAAAAAGGGCCAAAAGATGTCCAATTATCATAGTTTTGTAAAGTGTTCTGGATTCTGAATTAAATATACCCATCAATTCTGAATGTGTTCATGTTACAGAGAAATGCCATTTTGTTCTCTTTTCTTTTATAGCAGTGGCTTATAAGAAATATCTGAACTTTGATTTATTCAGACAGCGCTTCCTCCGGAGCAGCTAGCTTGGTGTGGAATGGATAGTATACTTCTTTATTGGGATGATATGCTACTGATGGTTGCTCCTCAAGCAGAGCCTGTTCGCTATTTTTATGATGAGCCAGTAGTTCTCATCCCAGAGTGTGATGGAGTGAGGATATTATCAAACACAAGTATGGAGTTTCTACAACGTGTTCCTACGTCTACTGAATATATCTTTGCAATTGGAAGCACTTCACCTGCAGCTTTACTATATGATGCCTTGGATCATTTCGACAGGCGAAGTGCCAAAGTAGGTCACTAAACAAAAAGTGGTTCTGTTTTCTTTGTACTTGTTATGGCTGATTTCATCTTTTCAAGAACATGATTTGAAAAATCATATTTTCTAGTAATGGTAAATATATATAATCAATTTTGAGTTAATAGTACTCATGTACATTAACAAATAATGATTTTTAATTAATTTATCAGTCATTGAAGTAGCCTTGGGTTCTCTGTAGCTGTACAATATTGCAAATTAAGCAAACCACATATATAACATGCTTGTTAATTTGCTGTTGTTTACATATCATGTGTTATTATTCTTATTCGCATACAAAAATAAATGTTAATATGTTAATTTGAGGCCACAGTGGTGGTACTTATTCAGTTTCTTTTTCTTTTATTAACTTTTTTCCTACTGTTATATATACAAAAAAGGAAAAGAAATTAAATGTAAACACAAAAAGAGGAAAAAGGCTTGACTATTGGCTCCACAGACGAGAAAAAAAAAAAAATCTTGCCTGTTATTAATGTATTATCTGTATTCTGTAATTTTTCAGAAGGAAAATAAAGTTATTCTTGTTTGCTAGGCTGATGAAAATTTGAGATTGATACGTTCATCCCTGCCTGAGGCTGTTGAAGCATGTATTGATGCTGCTGGACATGAATTTGATACTTCTCGTCAAAGGACACTGTTGAGAGCTGCAAGCTACGGCCAAGCCTTTTGCAGGTTAGTTTGTTTAGCTATTGTATCAGCATTTAATGCTGTTAGAAATCTTTGTTTTTTAGGCATATGTTAAAGATGAATTATTTTTTGCATGTAATCAATTTAAATATAAAAAGATAAAAAAATAATTATTTCTCTTATGTATGATCAATTTATTTGCTTGAATTTTAGTACTTCATTGGAATTTCTCCTCTTTTGTATCTTATAGCTATGTCGCAGTTTATGTCTATGAAACCCCTCACATAATGGTTCCTATGGTACCTTCTAAATCAATGATTTGCAGTATTGATGTTTTCAGGAAAAAAAAGAAAAAAACTTTTAAAAAAAAAAAAAAAAATTAAAAGGACTAAAACCGAGAGCCATTACTATAGGTCAACCGAAACTGTCGTTAAAGGTTGCACTAGTATAGGTTCTCTACACATTTATTTTGCGGGTCTTGAATGCTGTGCGTGACCCTGAGATTGGCATCCCTCTTAGTATTCAGCAGTATAAGGTCCTCAGTCTTGCCAATATAACGTTGCCAACATCAATTCTGATTTGCTCATTATTTTCTTCAATTTGTATTGAATAAACTTGTTTCCTCAGTTGCTGACAGCACCTGTCCTGATTGGTCGTTTAATTAATGCACATCGCCACCTACTTGCACTACGAATATCAGAGTACCTTAGAATGAATCAGGTAAGTTTAAGTTTATCGTAAGCATGATTTTGTGTAGGACCCTTTTCCTTCATGTTCTTATTGTGTTTACCCTGCCATGCTGATGTTCTCCCAGTATCTGAACAAAATAGTTGTGAGCAATTGATGTAGTCATAGAAGGTTTTTGATGAAAATATTGCTATGTCTTCTTGAAGTAGAACTAGGTTTTTTTTTTTTTTTTTGGTTTTTGTTTCTTGTTTTCCTTTTGGGTTCTGATCATAAACCTTTCTATCATATAGTTTGTTTGCAAATATGAGTCTAGATTATTATACATTCAGATATTGCTGTGCACCCTGTTTTATTAAGAATAGTCATTGTAAGATTTGGTAGTTATGGCTTCAAATTTCGGGAAGTAGACATTTAATTTTATTTTTTCTGGCTATTATAGGAGGTGGTGATAATGCACTGGGCGTGTTCAAAGATAACAGCTTCCTTAGCCATTCCTGATGTCACTCTCCTGGAAATCTTACTTGATAAGGTGGATGCTTCCTTTTTCAATATTCTTTAGATTAGCCCTCAGAAATATGGATTATTTGCTCATACTTATGCGAATGCTACATCTGAAAAGAAGGGTATTTTTTTTTTTTGAGTTTCAGCTCAAATTATGTAAAGGCATATCTTATGCAGCAGTTGCTGCTCATGCGGATAAGAGTGGTCGCCGCAAGTTAGCTGCTATGCTTGTTGAACATGAACCTCGTTCCTCTAAACAGGTTTATTTTCAATAGTTAATTCTTTTTCCCCATTTTCTGAAAATCTTTCTGCAGCTAAAGGTTATTTATCTGCTATCATATTTTATTTTTTTCAACTAAGGTTGTAAACCTTCTGAAAACAAAATTCTATTCTATTGACATAAAGTATAGAAATCATTTATCACATCTTCTCCTCTCTTCAGGTTCCTCTCTTGTTAAGCATAGGAGAGAAAGATACAGCTTTGGTGAAGGCAACTGAAAGTGGTGACACTGATCTTGTTTATCTTGTTGTATTTCATATCTGGCAAAAGGTAATATTTCCTCAATTTTTTCTCTTTAATTGTTAACATATTAATGCACAATGAAAACTAAATATGTGAATCATATACAAGAAGCTGAAATATGACCTATAATTGTATTAGTTTTTTTTTTTTTTTTTTTTTTTTAAACAAGAGATAAAAGAAGGATATTGTCTATAAGTTTATTCATTTGAATGCATTTTTTCCATTAATGCAGAGGCCTGCACTAGAGTTTTTTGGAATGATCCAAGCCAGACCCTTGGCATGTGATTTATTTATAGCTTATGCACGGTAAGACGCATGATCTATTGAATATTTTTAAAATATTATTTCCTATGTTTATAGTCTTCTTTAAAGTACTCAAGTTTGCTAGTAAGTTATCAGCATCATTAATAATTAAATGTACATTCATTAATTATCAGCAAAATGAAGCTCAGTCAGTCTTTCTCACTTCATTCCTCCAAAGCACTCATTGTATATTTCATTTCAGGTGTTATAAGCATGAATTCCTGAAGGACTTCTTCCTATCAACTGGACAACTTCAGGTAGGTTTAAATTGTTTGACATTTCTTTTTCCAACTTTGACATTCTATTCTGGTGAGAACAGAGAATGCAACAAGAATTGTGAAACTGTTTTGTACTATAAATGAGTCATTCTCTCTGCATTTATGTGTGATGTTCAACAAACCAAATGAAACTTGCATTTTGTGCATGTTTCTCTGCAAATTTTATTTTGTCAAATTTGAGGTATATTTAATATTTAACTGAATCCATTATCATATTCTGCTATTGCGTTCTTTTTTGGTAGACTTGTTTTAATATGAATTTTATTTGTTTTTATAGGAGGTGGCTTTTCTTCTTTGGAAAGAGTCATGGGAATTAGGAAAAAATCCTATGGCTAGTAAAGGATCACCCCTTCATGGTCCACGCATCAAACTTATTGAAAAATCCCATAGTCTTTTTGCAGAAACCAAGGAGCACTCCTTTGAGTCAAAAGCAGCTGAAGAACATGCAAAATTGTTGAGGTGAGACATGTTGGCTATGGTGTTATTTGTCTGCATCAAGTCTCTATTCAATTCATATTATTGTGTTTTTACATAATTCCTACCTATTTTGTTAGAATCCAACATGAGTTAGAAGTGTCTACCAAGCAAGCTATTTTTGTGGATTCAAGTATAAGTGACACTATTCGCACATGTATTGTTCTGGGAAATCATCGAGCTGCAATGAAAGTGAAAACAGAGTTCAAGGTCTGTAGAGTTTCCTTTGAGCTTCCTAGCTGAAAAAGAGGTTGCTTTTGTGCCTCCTTGAAGAAGCTTATCTGCATAGGCGACACAAGATAAAGCATTCTTTGCATGAGTTTCCTAGCTGATTCTTTTATTTTGCTACTTGTCTCAGGTAACTGAGAAGAGGTGGTATTGGCTTAAAGTTTTTGCTTTGGCTACAGTCAGAGATTGGGAGGCCCTAGAAAAGTTCTCAAAGGAGAAGCGACCACCAATTGGTAAACTTTTCTGCTTCCTATTTAATTTCTGGAGAAAAAAAAAAAAAAAAAAAAACCCTCATCTACAAGTGGTAGTTGCTACCTGTTTGTACCAAATAGCATTTAACGTACCAAAATTTACTTTGTTTCTTTTGTTTGGGTACTTGCACTTATCCCAGAGCCTTTGAAATGATTTATATTTTCTTGTCATACTGTGGTTGGCATGATAATTCATACTTGTTTGTGTTTGCCATCAAATAGGTTACAGGCCATTTGTGGAGGCATGTATAGATGCAGATGAAAAAGGCGAAGCTCTAAAATACATCCCCAGACTAGCGGATCCACGAGAAAGGGCTGAGGTAAGCTATACTTCCTAACTATTTTTCTGAATAAAATTAAAAATTTTGCTGCTTGCTTACGCTTCACTATTTGGTTCTTGTTTGATTCTGTGGCTACATATTTCTGATCAGACATCTAGAGTAGATGAGTAGAACTTATGTGAGCTCAATTTTTGGGTTGGAAATTGGAATAATAGCTTAAGATTCCATGTTTTTCTTGTTTCCTCTGCTTGCCAAACGTGGTATATTGGTGTAAATCTTGCTTTCTATGAAAACAATGTAAAATTCAGCTTTTTTTTTTTATGTTATGCTTTGAAAGCGTGCACCAATGCAGTTGCTCATGCATATCTTTGATTTTGATCAGGCTTATGCTCGGATTGGTATGGCCAAGGAAGCTGCAGATGCTGCTTCACAGGCAAAAGATGGTGAATTGCTGGGTCGATTGAAATTGACATTTGCACAAAATGCAGCAGCTTCTTCAATTTTCGATACACTTAGAGATAGATTATCTTTCCAAGGCGTTTCGTAAGTATTGTTTATTTATTATTATTATTATTTTCTCTCTTATTAATTTTTCAAGTTTGTGTTGTGTGCATATTCTTCGTGAGATCATGTTGCTGAATTAGTGTAAAGGTAGAAGGCTTTTCTTACAGAAACGGCGTTTGCTTAGTTGAAGCTGTTGGGAATTGTGTATCGGTTTTCATTTTCATATAAATGGGAGTAAAAAAGTTGTATAACTCATGGAATGAACCAAACGTTGGTTGCTTTTACTGTCTATATTCTTGCAAGAAAAACTGTCTCCCAAAATAAGTGCATGTAACTAATTGATCAAATTTGTTTTTAAAGAGCGAACTTGAGAGTAGAAAAATGAATTTGATACTTTCAAACAACAGGACTACAAGTGTTCTTTTGAATGACGTTTTTTAATTTTTCTTTTAAACGAATTAAATAAATTTGATATAAATGAAATGGTAATGATCTTTCCATACAAGTATATCAAATTTGACATTTTTATTTTTTAAGTATTCATCATCAAACCTATTTTTGGGTTGTACTAATAATAATTAAAAAAAATCATATTCGTTTGAATAGTGGGATGCGAGATTAGCAATTTAATTTTATGTCAAGGGTACATTTAAATTCCTCAGAGTTAATTGTAATTTCCCGTCTGGAACGATAGAATTTTGTTAAGGTTTCACTATTTACTTAACATGTGAATGGTAAAACTAAAATGTCTTTGTTAAATAATGGAAACCGTATCGAAACAATGATAACATAATATAGGTAAATTATTATTCGAGGACTTGAGAGAAGAAGTTTATTCAATGATATTTTCAGGGGAGAACTTGCAATTAACACACTCCTACCGTTGATTAAAAAAAAAAAAAGAAGAAAAAAAAAAAAAATGAAAACCCATATTGCCATGAAATATTGCAAGCTTTCTTTATATAAGTGATAATTTTATTTGAAAATGATAACGGAAGAGTAGTAGGAAGGCAACGCATTGAAGCGATTGATCGGATCACCTAGAATTATACGATTGATTGATTCTAGTTTTCATCTCAAGCTGCCCACCAATACTTTATTTCGCTTCATCTGTCACCTTAACGCTTTGCATACACCGAATCTTCATATTTCCCATTCCACCTGTAATTTGGTTTTTCATTCAACTTTTCAGTAAAATTTTGGTAACAATAAGTAAGCTTAAGTAATTAATACTTTGGGCAAAACCACCTAACCTGAATTCGTCCTTCTCTGGAATTTGGAGCTCTAAATCCTCTTCAAATGGCTGGAAAACCAGGTCTAGCTTCCCATCATCAACTTCCTCGAGTGTCGGTGGATCCCACTGTAACAAGTAAACCGTTTTATTCAAAACCAAGAGAAATGATTACTCCTATGATAATACACATTTAATCTCCCCAAAACAAATTTAATCTACGCATGGAGAGTTAGTAGATTTAGAATACACAGTAACACATATGTACCTTCGGAGCATTATCCTTGTCAATGGTAAGAGCTCTAATACCCTGTTCATCAAAAAGAGAAATTCAATTCAGAGGTGGGAGAGCGAATTTATGTTTTTTTTTTTTTTTTATTATTATTATTATTGTTGATTATTTTCATTAGTTTTATTACTAATGTAGCTCTAACACTTACCTCATAGACATCTCCAGATATAGTGTTTCGTAGTATGTTGATTGTCAGTCTAAATTCCTTCTTCAGGCATTCGGCCAGTGTTTGCTTCCTGCCTTCACGCACCTGGACATGTTTGAAACTATTTAGGCGCAACATGTGTTTAAATACAAGAAGTGCTAAGAAGAGAACCAAATGTACTTATTTATGCATCCCATTATATGTGTGAGAACAAGACTCTACAGTTTTACCATAATCCAATTCCAAGTTAACAATCTATCATTCGAAGACTTTCAATAAATTCAAGTGCTTCTTAATATAAGTTGTGAACAGGCTTTCCAAATTGCAAGCGCAAGCCCTGTACAGCTGTGCCAGCCTCAGCATAGCAAATGAAGGAGATGGCTCAAATGGTTCTATAAACTATTGTCCATTCAAGATTTTCCACAGATATTAGACATTCATCATTCCTTATCAAAGTACTCACCATAGACCTGAAGCCAATATAACATCAATTATAGATCACATAATATAAAAGGGCATTACCGATCTCAGTGTTATTTTCAATCCTGTTGGTGATGATCTCTTCAATCCCTCTAGCAGTGGAGCTATCCACCCATTTCCTTCTTTGCCAGCCTCTGCTTCCTGAAAAACAAGGCATCATTCATATAGATTATGGGTCATTGAAGAAACACGTATAATAAAGCGAACTTATAAAAGACAAGGAACTTACAAATGATTTTATAATCTCGCTAACTGTATCCTTTGAGAAGCACTCATTAATTATTGACTTCCTGAAAGGCAACCAAAGCTTACAGGTGTTAATATTACAGAACTTATTGCTTAAAATCTTATGTGGATAATGGAAAAGCAACAATATCTTCATGTTAGTGCACAAACACATATTGACATACAACCAACAACCCATGCAAACATATGCTTATAATACTCTTTGTCAGCTCACTAACAGTTCGACAATGCAAAGCACGCAAACTTGCATGTACAAACAGACACAAAAGAAAGAGAGAATCCATGCTTTAATGGTATGGATTAATTACTGAAATAACACGCTCCCTTCATCACGCTGAACTTCCTCAGAAAACTCTTCAATTGCAGATTTGACAGCATTCTCATCCCCAGTGTTTAAGCTTATCAAACGCTTCTCTAGCTCAGCCATTTTCTGACATATTCATCCACTTTGAAGAGTAAATACATAAAATATGACGCAAGAAACAGTATTCAAATGAAAAGACATTCAACATGTATCTGTCTAGTGAATCAACCAGCATTTCTCTTGCTTGTTTTATGATTACCATATAAAAGTATGGAAGGAAGCCCGAACTGTGAGCTATTCACAAGAAAATAGATCCTAAATAGGATTATCCCAGGGAAGATAATCGTGATTTCAAATATTTCAACTCACCTCAGAAGGGACAAAATGAGTGGCTATTCTAGCCCCAACCAATTCCCTGCCATTTAGCCTAGCCCCAGTCAAGGCCAAGAATTCCCCTGCATTGCACCCCCATGATATGATTATAAGAAACAGGGCAGAGAAGCTTGTTGTCACTTATGTATGTGCCTTTTTCCCTATTGTATAAATATTTAAAAGATTTTCATCTGTTCCACATTATGCTCGCTGATTTTTGCTTTAAAAAAATACAAAAACAAGTATGTCAATCTCCTTTTGCTAGTGCACGGTTACCTAAATGCCCAGGGAGACGAGAATGTATGAACGAGAAACCACAATCAGTATGAAAGCCAATACTTGCTTCTGGAGTGGAAAAAACCTATGTCAAAAGATTCAAGATAATCACCTATTTAGTTAGGCAATAAGGTATTTAAAAGTAAACCTATATAATCATTTCATAGGTTTCTGCATGCAAATATTCACCAAGTATTAAATACCCACAGTCTTTTCTGTGACAACTTTGAATTTCATCGGCACCATCAAAGAAGCACCTCCACCCATTGAAATTCCGTTAACAAGAGACACCTGTTACCATCAAAGATTCACTATTATGATCGTATCACAATTTAATCCTAGCATGATCTAAGACAACATATGATTTTCCAAGGTTTTGGACCAACCAGTACCTGGGTTTTCTTATAGGAATGAATGTGATGACAAAGCCAATACATCCTATAGACCACTTCAAGGCAGGAATCCTCTGCCCAAAAAGCAGTTCATCAATCACTTTGCTCAATAAGCAATGGAAACACTACAAAAATTGTATTTCAAAGAGAAAAAAAAAAAAAAAAAAAAAAGCATCATCTCAAAATGTTTATTTACTTGATGTCCTGCCATCATAGAACATTTTCAAATCCCCGCCAGCAGAAAAAGCTCGGCCAGCTCCCTGCACAATATATTAGTAACAAACATTTTAAGCTTCTAAGAAATTAATCAAATACTAGATTAAATGAACAAACAGAGGAAGATCCTTAATTGACCTTGATTAAGACAAGCTTTGCGTTGTCATCTTCTTCCCATTTCTCCAAATATTTTGCTAGTAGAGACACCTGATTCCAGTAAGGCAAACGCTCAGTTAAACAAATAATTTGAAAAACTAAAACATAATAAACTGAAGTGGATTGAATTAGTTGAACATGCCACTGCTGATGAAATGACATTCAATTGACGAGGCCGGTTCAAGGTGATCAGCCGCACGTTCTCTATTTCGTCTCCAAGAACAACCTAAAGAGTAATTAAAAGACTACCCTTTTAGTAAACAAGAGGCATAATTCGTTTAAAAGCAAAACATAAGACTAAGAACAAGGGTAAAAGAGAGAGAGATTACCGGCTCATCTTGGTTCACAACTTCTCGGGCCATTTAATTGATTGATCAGTTAGACAATTCTCTGTAGAAAGAAAAAAGAAATCTAGACAATAAAATTAACTAAAAAAAAAAAAGAACAGGAAAAATAGAATGCAAGAACCTTGCTGTTTCTATACAATTTAGGTGAATAAAAGTTGAGGCATAAGTATGAATTGACGGAAAAAGAAAAAGAGAGAGCTCTTACGTAAGAAGAAGAAGAAGGTGAGTGCGGTGGTGGTTGTGTAAGTGAAATGTTAAGGAGGTTGATAAAGGCGGGCTTTTATAATTCCGCCTCCTTGTCTAAATACTCACTCCAAAATATAAATAAAATATATGTCCTCCTCGTCTACCTACTCGCTCCAAAATATAAGTAAAATATATGGCCTCCTCGTTTACCTACTCACTCCAAAATATAAATAAAATATACGACGTTGTGACCAACTACCACTTGACTACTTTTCTTTGTTTTTGGGCACCAACCCCCCTTTTTCAACTAGATTTAATTCATCAAAATATTAATTATAATAAGTGGCAAGTTTTTCTGAGTATTTTACGAAATTTTAGATAATTCACTAATAATATTTAGTACAAAAATTTATGACGACATATTTTTTTTATCTTAAGACTTATTTTTTAATGAGTTTTGAAAAGGGGTGAATTATGGGCGTTTACCTTGGGGTTGGTGGTAGTTGGAAATAGTGGAGAAGCTAATCACCAAACCTGATGATATGATAGGATTTAACTTGGTAGTCTCAAAATTGCGCCTCGAATCCTCCCGTGTAATGTCTACCGAAACATGAATTTTAACCAAATCCTGTGGAGTGGAATGGAATTGAAAGAGAGACCCATTTTTCAAAAGCCATTTTTAAATTGACATGTTAAACCCAAACGAGGAAACAAATAAATAAATAACCATATGGCATAAGTATTAAATAAGAAGCTCTCAAGTCTATGAAATGAAACAATCATTAAAAAATGGGAGAATGGTAGATGTAGAAAGTTAGAGCTCACACTTGGGAAATGTGTATCTAGCTTGCTCTAACTTAACCAACCACTTATGTTCTCAGATGATAAATCCGGCCAATAATAAGCCAGGTTACATGAACAAGTTGGGCCTGCATGCCTTGAATGTTGTCTTGAGCTTCCTGGTTGGAGGCCTAACCTTCCTGAACATCAGGGGAAATTTAATTTTGGAGTTATGGAACTGGTTGGTGCTTTCCCTCTTGCAAAGCTTTGCTGGAATGGTGGCTGTCTTGATGATTTGTATGCAAGGATGCCTCACCCTGTGTCAAGATGCCATCTCAGTATACATTTGTTCAACAGCACCATTGAGAGTTGTGTCTCGATATTCCTTGTACATGTTGTGATAACCAGTTCGGCTTTGATATCAAAGCCAGATCCCATAATTCTTTATCTTGTTTGGATTCTTCTCAAATATCTACAATCAAAAACCCAATAACACAACCTATTAGAACCTTTAGGTAAAATCTGCATTCAGAATAAGAAAACAGAGCAATTGGACATCATAAAGGCACTTTAAAACAAACTTCTCATAATGCCAGAAAAGAAACAATGATTTAGAACTCTCTAATAGCCCAAAATTCAATTCCTTAGTCTTTTTACTTTCTGTGGTGCTTTTCTTTGGAGCAACAGGTACATTATCTAGAGCAATAATTAGCGTCCACAAAAAAACTACAAATAGCTTTCCTATCTAATATGTATTCAGAATCTTCTTAAGGAGTTAGAAGGTTCAAATCTCCTAAGGTCACTTAACTGGAATATTATACCAGCCACAATGCTAACGTCCAAGATCTAAGCAATTGTATTCTGAAATGAATCAAACTTTGCAACTCTTAACTCTTAAGTCATGGTTAGCTGGGATAAAGGTCATGGTGGTAAAGGAAATCAGGCCAAACAAATATAAATAGCCAGAAAAAGGCATATTATAAGATATATAACAAACTTGAATCAAGGACCCCTAACGGAATAATTTTGTGTAAACACCACTGAATGATGAAATAAACAAGTCATTTGAGAAGTTTCAAATGGGGATTATAGCCTGTCAATAATGGAAGAGAGTTGAAGAGAAAGATGCTCAGGCTCAGCGCAGCAAGCCAAATTAGCACATTGAAGAATGCAAAAGTGAGGTTACAGACACAATATTAACGACACATAAAATTACACTCATTGAAGCATGTTAAGTTGAATTATCAATGACGCACAACCCAAGTGATAAGGCCACCACAAACATTTTCCAAAAGTGAAAAAATTATAACTGAATAAAAAAGAGTCAACATTATATCATAGTTTACCATACCTCGTTGATGGCCAAAACCTGCCCATTGCTCTTTTTCACTTTCTTCAGCTTCCTCATAAAGTACCTTAACATATCAAAGAAAGGCTAATTCACATGCCAAAATTCAAAAGAGAGAAAGAGAGTATATATAAATAAAAAAGGAGGAGCGCGTACCAGAACTTGGACTTGGCACGGACCTCGTTGGTGGCCCAAAGCTTCATGCGATAGATCTTGGGATGATCATCCGTCTCTGTCGGCAAGGCTCTTCCCACCACCTGGTACTGGTGAAACTGTTTTTCACCAAAAAAAAAAAAAAAAAAATTCACCAAAAAAAAAAAAAAAAATCAAATTACACAAACTGTATGTAATTGAATAAATACATTATGATATCAAGAAATGAAGCTCACCTTAAAGGTAACCATTTCCTCTCTCTCCCTCAGCTCACTGTCTCCGGTAGTGATGCCCTAACCCTATTCCTATTAACTTCAGTCGTGTCCGAAAGGCTGGGTACGGCTGGGCCGTTACAACTATGTTAGGCCCAAATGAATAAAAGTATGTTTGTTGGGCCCATGGATCCATATATATATGTGTGTGTATGTAACTATGTATGTATTTATAATCTGAATCATATTTGAGAGTTGAATTTTGTGCTCCGATTTCAAATGTAAACCTCAATACCAATGACGTACACCACCGACTTCATGCAACAAATTTCTAATCTTCAAGCCCAAAGCATGTATCGATGAAGCTTGAAAAGTCATGTTTTCTTCTTTGTTCAACAAAAGTGGCAACGTTTCATTCATATGGAAATTTTCTCGTGGCCTCGTTACTGTTCATGAGAGTGATAGTAGAGAAATTTATATCGTACTAGGTTGACTCAATCACCAAGTTAACTGTATCCTATGACTCGTTTTAACTCTCATTAACGCCCTTTTATCACTGGCATTGATCAAACTTAGATGGCCAATAACACAAGTTAGAAACATTTGATCCAAGAGAAAAAGTTTTTAAGTGAAATATCTTTATTTAACATTATTCAATCGAATTTAAGTTGTGGATTCAATTTTTCTGTTTAAGTTGGTTTTCTTCATTCAACTGTAATAACTACTATAAGAATTTAATTCTTAATTTCTCTTATTATTTTCGCTGCATATTTCTCTATTCTCTCATATTTTCTATTACTATTTTGTTCAAATTTGGAAATTCCCAACCCCAACTCATGCTTTTGAAATTCCCAACCCCAACTCATGCTTTTGAAATTCCTCACTTGAAGAGGAAACAATCTGAGGCTGACACCCTCCTTACTGGGTCAGCCCCTTCGTCATTGGGCCCAGTTTCATCTTTACTAGGATTTCTGACTCCTTTGTTTGATTTGTGATGAGCCATTTAAGTCTGGACATTCTGGCAGAAAACGTATAACTTCAAGATGATGCAAAATGGAAAACCCTGTATACTGAAGTTGGAGGGTTGATTTTGTTTTTCTATTTTAGATGGAGTTTTTGTTTTAAGGTTTAAATGGTTCTTAAGTTTTAGGGAAATACCTTGGATCCAAGATTTGAGGTTTATGAAATACGTACTTTATTCCCTTTAAAGTTTATAGTTTAAATTGAATTCCAAGATCATAATCATAACAACATAATTTTTAAATAAGAAATTTCAAATTACAGTCTTAGAAAAAAAGAAATAAAGATTTACAACACCAGCAGTCTCAGCTTGGTCAGTCTGTTTTGCTAGTTACATCTTTATAATTTTGAGACCTGTTAGTTAATTGGAATTGTTTTATTCTCTATGCGGAGAACCTGTTGCAGAACAGATTGAAGGAAATAAGCAATGCATATGAGGTAAAAAGTTCGATCATGTGGATAATGTTGTTATTGACGTTATCCCATACCCAGTACTAAAAGGCGATGGCATCAACATTTTGTACACTCGCAAAATTTCCTAGATGGATGCAATTATGGGTGTTGGAAACTATGTATAGATATAGTGTAAAGGGCATATTTGTAATTGTTGAGTGTGTATATATTTGAGTTAGGTTGTACTGTTGAGATACAAGAAATATAGAAAGTGAACATGGTATCAAAGCTCCTGGACGTGTAAACCCTAAACTCATTTGCTTGTTTCTGTTTTTCCGGCGACCCATTCCTTTGTTTTTGTTTTCCGGTGACCAACGATCTCCAGTGATGTCTTTGTCATGGTTTCTCTCTCTCCAGCGACGTGTGCCCTTAGCCTCTCTGTTTTCAACGACGTCTGAGTCTGTTCTTCCCTCTGTTTCTGTTTTCCGGCAACCAGCAATCTCCAGTGACATCTTTGTCTATGGTTTCTCTCTCTCCGGAGACGTCTGCCCTTAGCCTCTCTATTTTCGATGACGTCTGAGTCTATTCTTCCCTCTGTTTTTGTTTTTCGGTGACGTCTTTGTCCATGGTTTCTCTCTCTCTGGCGACGTCTGCCCTTAGCTTCTCTGTTTCTAGTGACGTCTGAATCTATTCTTCGTTGTTCTTGATCTCTCCGGCGACCTTTGTTTCTCTTTTTCTGGCGAGTGCTGATTCTGTTCCAGTCTCTCTTCTCTATTGATTGGTTTGGTGCAGTAAATCATTTCTCTCTTCTCTTTTCTTGGTTTGGTGCAGTAAATCAATTTTTTTTAAGTAAAAATGGGAATGCTTTGCGACATGCTTTGATCAGAATATTCTGAGAAACCTCGAGTTGAAGGAAGGTAAAGTTGTATCTATACAACAAAAGTCCACAGGTTTGATCATTCGGTAAGCCACTCAAATGATTGCTCAATTCGTAATCCTCTATACTTTTGTGTTGGCTTGGAGTTGGTGTGATACCAAAGTTGTTGTGAATTAAGCCAACGTGGAGTTGTTGTAAATCATTTTTTGGCTATCCTTTTGTGTTGGCTTGGAGTTAGGTTGTGATACCAGAGTTGCTGTGAATCCTGGTTGTTTGAGTTGTTGTGTTTGCTTGGGTTGTTTGGTGTTGAGATTGTTGTGAATCTGTGGAGTTA